CATAAAAAATCCACCACCATGTTTAACTGTTGGGAGCAGGCACTTTGGGTTGATAGTGGCTTTCTTTGTTTCTTCTCCAAACATAAGCCCATCCTGATGTAGTTGTAGACCGTATTACTTTTTCCCACTGCTCAGAAGTCCAGGTTTTGTGTGCATAACACCAGGTTGTGCATTGTGGTTCATTGGCTTTGGTAACAATTGGTTTCTGAATGGAAACCCCACCATAAATATCAGCTTTGTGAAGCTCACAACATACAGTACATTGATTGCGGAGACTGGATTGTGGAGGTGTAAATTCAGTTCTGTGGTAATTGTTGTAGCCATTGTTTTGTGTTTTAGTAACTATCCTGCTGTATCTGTCTATCTCTATCAGCAAGCTTTAATGTCCAACCACTATTCCTTTTTCCTGATGCTGTTTTCCCTTGTTTGGCACATGTCATCATGGCTTTTGGAACTGTTCCTCTTTACATATCTAATACTATTGACATTCCTGTGTCTGACGCACCTGTAATTTAGTCACCAGCTGCTTGACCTTTTTCAAAACCTGTCAAATCTCTCATTGTGCTTTAGAAACTCGGATATCAAAGTGTTGATTTTAAGATGTTTTTATAGTGGAAATATAAAGGTAATTATTATTATGATTAATATAAAACATGTGCAGAATGCTTTTTGATTGGTGCATCTTTCATATTGTTTCTCACACACGTGTGGTTGCTATTTCTCTCAACACATACAGTATCAATTGCAATAAATATATTATAGTACATGGATTACCTTGAATCAACTGTGAATTATTTTCTGGTTCTCTGGAGGATTCTACCATGTGTACACACAAATATAGTGAAAAGACACACTAAGCTAAATGAAAAAATGTATTATACATTATACTTAATTGATTTTTCTGTTCTTATTGTATTCTTATTCTTTTTCTATTCTGTTTAAAAATATCATAATTGAAACTGAGGCTGTACAAAAGATTCAATTTAACAAGTAATTTAAAGTGTAGGAATACAGCCCACTGGAAAACAGCCCAGCAAGTGAATAGCCCACCACAATATAGTTGAATATAAAGTTAATTAGCATGCTTCAGTAATATGCTTAACATTAATAATGGGGTGGCACTATGGTGGAATGAGTTTTGCAGTACTGGGGCCCTGAGTTCAGTCCTGGACTTTGGGGTGCTATCTGTGTGGAGGTTGTATAGTCACCCATTGTTCGCGTGGGTTTCCTCCGTGTGCTACGGTGTTCTCCCAAAGTCCAGAAAGATAGTGGTAGGTTAAACTCTCTCTCTCATCCTAGCGTCAATCCCGCATCAGCAGGGTCCGCTTGTCGGCACGCCTGTCTCCATTTGGTGGTTTGAATCATTAGGAGGCATGGGAAATTTGGCCAGGACACCGGGGTTACACCCCTACTCTTTTCGAGAAACACCCTGGGATTTTTTTAATGACCACAGAGAGTCAGGACCTCGGTTTTACGTCTCATCCGTAAAACCGTGGTAGGTTAAACTGACTTCTGGAAAAAATTGGCCCTAGTCAGCTGTGAGTATCTGTGTCTGTGCCCTGCAATAACCTGCCATCCAGGGTGTACCCTGCCTTGCACTGGTTTCTTGCCAGCATAGGCTCCTGCTCCCCCACCATGGGAAGAACATTAATAATGTAAACCTTACTGATGGACTTTTTATCAGAAGAACATGTACTGGTGGGCATATTTCCATTCCAATGTACTGTATTTTGCTATTATTTGTTGTTTTGATTTTCAAGACATTTACTCACATAATATAGAAGAACTTGCATTGAATTAGCTTTTTGTTTTCAGTGCTGTATCTGGCTACTCTTTTTCAACATTCAAGAGAAATTAATTGAAATCAAATCAAAGCTGATTATTATATTAGGACAATGCGGATCTGTTTGAAACCTGCAGGAACTGTGAATGAAAAAGTGGTGGTATTGTTTCAGACTAAATGCTCGGTGCTATAATACATTAATGCCGTTATGATAGTAGTGAAGTGAGTCTGAGACACACTGATAAAACTATTTATTCTAGTTGTTTTAAAAAATATATATATTTTTTAAAGAAAGCAAAGTAAATGAGTGAATGGAGATTATCACATGAGTGGTAAATAGCTGTGGAAAGAATCATAATTACCAAACATCATTTGAAAATGTACTATAAGCCAATGTTTTCTTCATAAAAATATATACAGTAAATACATACAGTAGTAAGTGAGTAAGAACATTTGTATTACAGTCATATTTATCTATTATATATTTTTGTGTTTGTTTTAGCCTTTTCCTTTAATGACACTGATATGGGCTTTTGCAGTTTTTTGGGGGAAAAGCCTGTCTTGTAGAAATTAATCTACCAGGTGGTATTCAAGTCCAAGGCCTGAAAGGCATGTCTTCGAGAGAAAGGTAGGGCTAAATATATTTAAACCATGTGGCCAAATTGCATTATGAGACAGATTAAAGGCAGGAGACAATTACTCAATTAGAATTATGGTTTTACCGAGATTTTTCCAAGGTCTCCTTTTATTGCTCTTGAAATATAAGTAGAAACTACTAAGAGCTAGGGCACTGCAGTGTGTCCGGGATATGCGGAGGTGGCTAAGTAAGCAGAGTGCCTGCCACTCCAAAGGTCAAGACTGTAACTGAAGCAGACAGGGGTGCAGTGAGAACAAGCCTTGGGTATGATCCTGCAGCTCTCCCCTCTCTGCTCGGAGTGTCAGCACCTCACAGGAATGAAGGTTTAGCTTTTTTGTTTTATATACCCATGACAATAGAAATACAAATACAACACAGTAATGGTCCTGCTCTTTAAACCAAAGCTTTTCTTATCCATCCGTGATTTATTTCAAACGCTAACATTGTGAGATTTTCATAGCAGAATGTGTTTTCTCATAGTGCAACATTACATTTCCTTTTCCTTTAAATTTGCCACATTTAAGAAATTTAAGAAATATTGCACTGACTCACTGTAGTCGTTAAAATTCCCAGGGCGTTTCTTGAAAAGAGTAGGGGTGTAACCCTGGCATCCTGACCAGGTGGATGCTGCACATTGGTGGTGGTGGAGGGGAGTCCTCATTACCTGTAAAGCGCTTTGAGTGGAGTGTCCAAAAAAGCCCTATATAAGTGTAAGGAATTATTATTATTAATTATTAAGAAATGTAACTATAACAATCTGAGATAATCTAAGTAATGTAAGTCAGCCTCTACACATAATTGTTCTCTGATGATGGCTTGCCTTTAATTTGTTTCTCCCAATAATACTAAGCACGATGGGTGAAATGAATTTATTTTAGTAAAACCAGAATATAAAGAAATATCCAGTCCTAAACCATATCATATTTAAGGTAATGTGATACTGGTCTCAGTTTTCTTTGGTAGATATCCAATGCTCTTCCTGGAGAGCCCCTATATAGAAAGTTTTATTACTACTAAATTAAAAGATCTGAAACAAGTTCACTGTGATCTTTAAATATTTACATACTGTAACAATGAAGGAAATTTTAACATTATATTTGTTATCAAAAGCATTAGAGATCTCTTAACTTGATCCATTATTTATCCATTAGTAGGAAATGTAACTAATTATTAAAATACAATTAATCCAGGATAAGGGTCACTGGATAGGGGCTCTCCAGGACAATGGCTGTAGAACCTAGAGTCATGAGTTCCTCAAACCAAGAAGATGGAATACATGTCTCATTTTAAGATGTGTTATTGTTCCTGTTCCTGTTCCTGTTCCTGTTCCTGTTCCTGTTCCTGTTCCTGTTCTTGTTCTGTTGGTGATTGCTTATTTAAAAGCTGAAATACTTTTTCGGTGTCATTTACCATTTGTCACTCATCTTAAAGGTGATTTTTCTTTTTAAACCAGTTACCTTTTGACATTCTTTGAGGAGTATACATGCTACATTGCTAAATACCAGAGTTCAGTCCGAACATCAGATTCTGGATTCTGGATTCTGGGAGACAAGACATCTCTGGCAAAATGCTGTTGGGAGGGCGAGGGTAGCTTGCTGTATGTAACAGTACCTGTCCCTTCTGAGAATATTTTAATGAAGTCATCCCAAACACTTTCATGCATTGAATAGAATTGATTACACATTCACAAAAATAACTGGAAAGACAATAACGTACAAACCGTTTTACCTCTTCCTAGGGTATCTTTACAATCAGCTTTTTAAACTACCTGCTTTTTGTAAGAAGGATTTCCAGCTGGCCTAAAATCAACCATACACTTGAAAATTGACAGGTCTTTTACTACATCTCTGAATTAAAACACATCAACATGTAAATTGAATATATCCTTTTTTCTAAGCATAAAAAAAACATTGTATATTTGCATGCATATATTTTGGTGCTCTTGTTCTAAATAATAATAATACACAACACACAAAGTGCTGTACAAGTATGGGGGACCCCTCTCCAACACTACCTACTGTATGTGCAGCACCCACCTGGATGATGTGACAACAGCCATAGTGTGCCACTGTGCTCACCACACGTCAGCTATCAGTATGTAGGAGAACAGTGTGATGAAGCCATTTCATAAATTATTACGAGGCCATGACTGGTAAAGGCCAGTGAGAAATTTGGCTAGGACACTGGTGTAACACCCTTAATCTTTTCAAGAAACACGCTGGGATTTTTAATGACCACAGAGTCGGGACTTCCATTTTATGGATCATGCAAACGACTGCACCGTTTTTACATTATAGTGTCACTGTACTGGGGGCATTAAGGTACACACAGACCACAAGGTGAGTGTCCCCTACTGGCCCTTCTTATACCTCTTGCAGCAGTGACCTCAGTTTTTCCCCACAGGGTCTCTCATCCAGCTACTGACCAGGCTCACAATTGCTTAGCTTTAGTGGATCGCCAATTGTGAGTTGCAGGGTGACATGGCTGCTGGCGTTGTTTTACTCTTACCTTAATTTTGCAGCTGCTTATAAAAATTGTCTGCTATGTTTTTGTAATCCTTGATTTTACTATTTCTGTCAGACTTTCCGATGGCCCATTGCCAGTAACATCGATGGAAATGAAATGCTGGAAATCCAAGTGTACAACTACAGCAAGGTGTTCACAAACAGGTCAGTGGACTCTTGTTGGATAAGTTCTTCATACTTTTCAAATCTGGTTGTTAAAATAATGCACCTGTGTGTGAGCTTGTAAATACATTTGTGTAATCACCTGCCTATGAAAACAATACAGTAACTTTAGTAGATTTTCACAGTTTGAAATGACCTTGTTATGTTGGTCCTTTCTAGTGTCACACCACAACACACTAGAATTATTCAAATACTGTATCTGGTTTCGTATTATTAAAATGACTATCTCCTACTGTCTGAACACTGCCCTATCTGTTCAATAGTACTGCTTTTTATCCCCAGTGCAATGTCCTCAAAAATTGCTTCCGAAACTAATAATAGAATTAAACTATAATGCCAAATTTTCTATTTAGCAGTTATTTCACTACAGTTTTGACAATACTGCAACTTTTTTTATATACTTTTGATATCATTTCCTAAAGCTAACAAAGAAATGTTAGGGGTTTTAATAAATATACCCAGTTGTTAAATCACTTTCGTCTAAGTTTGGAAATAAAGGTCCATCCAAATATTTAAACACCTACTGTATCTACTGTATAAGGAATTGCAATATAATTCCACATTGTGCCAAAGGAAGATACAGACATGCATGACTATACTGCAGCTGTTTAAGGATGGTTTTATTACTGTGGAAGAAGACCACTGAATACCACAAATGATACTACTACTGTATGTACATTGAGACCTAACGTGTACTTAATTTTCTGTGATATTCTACAAAGAAAAATGTACACGTATACTTATGGAACTTGTAGTTCAATATTTATGTCCAGTAACACCCATTCATAAAAAAGGGCATTCGTATGGTGAAAATTTGTAATTAAACCTAAGTCATTTTTTTATACAGTTACACCAGAATATGTTTTATGCCTTCGATAATATTGTCTGCATTGCATTGTGAAGTCAATATTTAGAGCAAGAAGGAGCTTACACAGATCCACCTAGATTGTGACTGAGCAAACATATGGAATGGGGCATCACTGCCTAGACAAAATGAGGAGCACTGAATGCAACTGCCAGATCAGTCTTTGGGGTTTCACAGCACATGGAGTCCTGTTGAAGATTTCTGAGGTATTTCTGGAAGCAAGTGGGGGAGGGCAGGGCAATGAAGCACCTCATTCTGAAGCACTCCAGCTCCTGCTGAAGGAGCCTCCTGACCAAGCCATGGGGAATCCGGGCTTGAGAGTCCTGTGACGTCTCCACAATTTCACAAAGTAAGGCCAATTCCAACCCCAACTTTCAGCAGAAGTTTTTGAGAATATTTTAATATTTTAGGCATGGAAAATACAGACAAAATATATCACATATTTCTAAGCAGATCACATTTCATGTTCTCACTATCATCAGTCTTTATTTGCAAAGCCACTCCATATTCAGATTCAGTTAATTTTTTCTGTTACCCGCTACATTACGTCGGACATCCACTGAGAATATGAGAAGCATCTGTCTTTGCTCCGGTCTATCAGGAGAAAAGAATATGATCTGCAAGCATGGCTTCAGCTGTTCAGATACTATCTCATTCAAAAAAGAAAAGCAAATCTGTTTAAACTTTGTATATCCTCTAGGTTAAATGTATTGCTCATCGATTTCTCATTTTCAAGAAACTAAACTGATCACAGCTCATATTAAAAGAAACTGGAATGAGGTGGTAGTGTGTATGGCTGGACCTCATGGTATTACAGTACGTCAAGTAAAGCACAAAATGTAATCACTTACATTTGGCTAATTGAAAGACAACTTGCGTGGCATGGTGATGCAGTGATTAGTGTTGCTGCCCCTAAGCACTAGTGTTCTGGGTTCAATTCTGTACCCTAAGTGCTGTGTGTAGCTTGTATGTTCTCCCTGTGTTCACTTGGCTTTCTGCTTTCCTCCCACATTCCAAACTCATATTGATAGCTTCATTGGCTTCTGGGAAGACTAGTGCGTGTGTCTGTTTGCCCTGTTGCTCCTCCCTTAAATGTAAGGAGTGGTTAGAAAATGGATGGATGGTTGGACTGACAGGTTTTATAATGGAAGAAGACCAAGAACATACCAATACAACTATGTCTGTATTGTTTATTTTAGGAGAGGTCCACATTGTGCAGATACCTGCAAACCCCCACTACTCTAAAGGGAAAAACATACAGAAATTGCTGGCATGTGAAAACATTTGTCTAATTTCAAAGAAAATGTTAATACTGGATGTGTTTTACAAGCATTTTTCCTCCCATGATATTGTTTTTACCTCTTTTAATGCAGTGTGCATTGTATCATCCTGACAAGAGAGGTCACAATGATTGTACTCTGTGTTGGTTTACTTCATTATCAGCAGCAGGAACTGTCATCATTTAGAGTATTTCACCTGATCTTTCATACTTATAAGATTAAACTTTGGGCAAACACAAACAGAAAAGATCATGAATTTTAATGTTATTTAAATAAGTCTGGTAACGTTTGATAATTTATTTTGCATGACATTTAGAATATTGACCTTAAATGTTAAAAGAATGTGTAGTTAACAAGAGTTGTCCAGCCAATCAGGTTACTGGACTGAGGTGACCTACTTTTAGTCACAGAAAAACAAATTAAAAGAGGAGCTTATCAATAAAACATGTGGTCTGTAAGCTATACATGGACTTTTAAGGCAAGTGATATCAGATTATACACGGTTTTAAATTATTAAAGTGTGTTTACGTCAGCATTGCGTGTGTCATCTTTTTTATGTTAAGGTATCAGTCGCTAGAAAGTTAATTAGTTTGGTAACTAATCTGTTTTGTGTTCTGTGACCAGAGAAAATAGGTCCAACACATGACACTGCTGAGTCTAATTGCTCGGGACTGTTGTCTTCACACAACAATGTTGGTACAGTACAGGTGCTGAATGTGAAAGGGAACCCTTATAGAATTCCTGTACAATACAGGTTTTCTGGAATAAACTGGAACTAGAATTTACTAGCTAAACCAGTACAGTTTACAGTTTATTCTCTCTTTGTGTCTCTTTGCAGTTCACTTTCCATGTTTCACACGTTTCACACCGCTCTCTTGGTATTTTTAAGATCTATTGGCTATGTCCTAACACAGCCTGCCCCATTAGTGTTGTCATAAAATGATTACACATTGAGCATTATTCATTGTTAATTAGACAAAGCTTTTATAAGTAATTGTTCTAAAATAGAAGAAAGAAAACAATTGGCAATTATAATTTGACTGGGTGAATGAAACACACCAAAATAGGAAAGCACTGCTGGAGAAGTGATTAGGGCTCTGGATTTGGAACTTGAAGCAATCTTCAACCTGCTGTTCTAACCTTGAGGAAGGTCATATTGTTTGGGTAAAGATTCCCTCCTGGTTAAATGGGTGCTATGTAAGTCATCATTGTAAATAAGAATTTATCAATCACCTTCTTTGGTTATTTTTTTTTTTAATGGCTAGGAGCAAATATGAACTAACCTACTGTGCAGTTAAGCTACTGTAAAATCCATTTTTTACATCTAATAAAATAGGATATTTTCTGCGCTGTGAATATTGTCACTTATAAATTACATAAATTACAGTTTTAATTTCAAAATTATTTTCAGTGATACTAGTATACAGAGGAAACGTGCACATGTTTCTCATTTTCTTCTTTCCGTTGTAAGGGAAAAACTATCAAAGGATGCAAGCTTACTCCCCCCTCAACATTAATCAATGTCCAGCTGTCACAGTAGGATACTGAGCCTGGCTGACCAGCCGCCCACAGTTGATCCCTGTTGGTCACAATAAACTGTCATAAACAGAGGCTCAATCAAACTTTATGCAGGCTTTTTATTTCACTTAAAAAGAAAAGTGTAAATGCAGTAAGACCTAAGTCAAGTGTTTCTTTAAACTACACTAACTATATACTGTATACAGTATATATGGACATATATATTTTTTTACCTTTTACTGTTGTTCTGTGAAAAAAAGGGGGTTGTTCATTAACTTTCCATGGGCCGTTCAGGAAAAATTCACAAACCTACTTCGTAATAATATAATATCCCCGTTTTATATTTTCTTAACATAAAATACTTGATCATGAATAGACCCTATGGCATTAAACAAATGTTCATAAACTGCTCATTCAGTGAACACAATGCAATTTCATGATTTATGCTATGTGCATAAATGACCAAAAGGACCACAACTAAAACATTTCAACAATGTTTAATGAAATTTTATTTGGAAATTTGCAGTTTCCAAAAAATGTACATTCTCTAAATTTGATTTAAAAACGCATTCAAGGTTAAATGTATAGAGCAGTGTTCCTCATACAGTATTTTGGAATTGCCATTTATCCTGGATAACAGCCTACAGTTTATCCTGCACGATGAGCTGGTAAGAATTTCTCTCTGAAGTTGTTTATTACTCCAGGGCCTACATGTTCACAAAGATAAGCCCAGTGTGATGGGCTTTCTCCACCTACCCTTCATCCACCTACAGAGCAGTATGCCACGCAGCATACATTAGTATGGATAACATCTGACAAATTTAATCTTCTGCTTTCCTTAGCTGACAAAAAGGGTGGTATCTGTTGCTAAATGTAAGAAAATGAAATATCTGTGACATTCAACAGTAAATCAAAGTCAAAGCTAAAACAGAATTGCAACTGTGTATCTTAGACCAGTTTATTTCTAATTTCTGGTAAATGTTCACATCCCCAACTATTTGTTAAGTACTTGCATATGTAGAATTATACCGACACGTATTTGAACCAGTTTCCACATCCTATCACTGAAAAACTACTTCAGCATCCAAACTGGAGAGCTTTTTGTTAAATGCATTTTAACACCTCAGAAAACATCAGTCTACCACTCAGTTTTAAATTAAAGCAGTAGCACAGCGGTGCATTTGTTAACATTGCTGCCTTGCAGTGCTAGGGCCCTGAGTTCTCAGGTATCTGCTTGGGGTTTGTATGTTCTCCACTTGTTCCATTGGTTTCCTCTGGGTCCTTTGGTTTATTCTCACAGTCCAGGACATAATGGCTCA